TGATGATGGTACTGATGGCGATGGTGATGATGGTACTGATGGTGATGGTGAGAGTGATGATGGTACTGATGGTGATGGCGATGGTGATGATGGTACTGATGGTGATGGCGATGGTGATGATGGTACTGATGGCGATGGTGAGGTTAATAATGATGATGTTGATGATGATAGTGATATTGATGATAAGGATGAGGAGGTTGATGATCATCATCATCATGTTGATGTCAATGATGTTGATGATCGTGATAATGTTGACGATCATAATGTTGTTCAATATATCAAAAGGGGAGAAGCTTTGTCTTTTTCCAACAATTCCCAGGATCTAAAATGGCTGGGAAATGGGGTGTTCTGGTTCATTGACTACTCAGATAAACCATATGCATATGACATAGAGACATACAGACATGTGTGCCATTCACAAATGACCATTTACCAAGAATGTGCAATAAAAAACACAAGTGACAGAAGGCTTTCCTTTGTTCCAGGGATGGCAAGTGTGCTGCTCCCTTCTCCCATAGCAGACATCAGTAATCAATCACCACACCCTCTAGACAGCCATTTCCACTGTAGATGAAACCTGCGCCCCTTTATCTGCAGGTCCTGAGCTGGTGTGGGGCTGTGCAGAGGCTTGGGTTGGGGTTTGCGGGGAGATGAGTACCCCGTCCTAGGGATCTGATAGACTTTGCTGTTTACTGTGGTAAGCACAGAGGACAGATCCTCAGTAAAGCATGCCCAGAGAACGCGGCTTCCACTGTCTCCTTAGTTCATCACGGGAAATAGACCCAGGTTGTGGGAAGCCCTCTGTGGAGCCGACTGAGCCACTTACGCTCTTAACCATGTCACCTTGAAACTCCTGCTGGAAAACCCCTTTAGCAAACCCAGCACCTGAAGCAACCTGCCCCCCATTCCGGGGACAGTTTCTTACCACACCTTCGAGGCCACCTTGCCTGCCGTGTGGCCAGTGCACGTGTGATGATGACTGGCCCTCCACATGTGCGGCCTGTCTGTGTCCAGGGAGCAGCCTAGGGCCCCGTGTGGTCAGGTTTAACGCTGGCAGGGG